TAATAATAATAATAATGATAATAATAATAATAATAATAATAATAATAATAATAATAATAATAATGATAATGATAATAATAGTAATAAAGATAATGATAATAATGATTATGTTAATATTAATAGTAATGATAAAAGGTATGAATGTATAATAAAAAGGAACGTAGATAATATATTGAAGGAGCTTTGAACATTGTACAAAGTTGTTAAACTTAATAAAAAAAAAAAAAAAAAAAAAATAAAGAAGAAGAAGAAGAAGAAAAAAGAAACAAAACAACAAGGAAACCATGAATTAAAAGAAAAGAAAAAAAATTGAAATACATTTACAGATTGAAATGACAATAAAAAAGGATCAAGACATGAAAAACTAAATAAAAAAATACAAAAATAAAAATCAGGCAACGCGATCTGATATAAGCTGCCCGGAAGACTTATGAAAATAATAATGATAATAATAATAATAATAATAATGATAATAATAATAATAATAATAATAATAATAATAATAATAATAATAATAACAGTAAAGACAGCAACAACGATGATAACAAGAATAATAACATTAATGATAATAATGATAATGATAATAATAACAGTAATAATGATGATGATAATAATGATAATTATGATTATAATAACAGTAATAACTATTATAACAATAACAATATTGATAATTATAATAGTAGTAATAATAACAATGATAATAATGATAGTAGTAGCAGTAGTAGTAATGGTAATAATAATTTTGATGATGATGATAGTAATAATAATAACAATAATAATGATAATAATGACAATAATAGTAATAATGATAATAATCATAACAATAATTACACCAAGAATAATAATAATAGTAATGATAATAATGAGGATAATAATAATAATAATAATAAATAACAATGATACTACTACTACTACTAGTGATAATGATAATAATAAGGATAATAATAATAATAATAATGATAATAATAATAATAATAATAATAATAATAATAATAATAATAATAATAATAATAATAATAATGATGATGATGATGATGATAACGTCAACATATGTAACTGAGAGGCAGATACTTAAATATCTACACGATGTGACAGACAATTAGATAGATAGATAGATAGATAAATAGATAAAAAGACAGATAAATAGCTAGATAGAAAGAAAGATATATAGATAGATCAATAGATAGTTAGATATAGAGAGAGAAACAGACAGATAGAGATAGAAACGAAAATGATTATAAAGACATTGATAGATATACAGAGACAGATAGATGGATAGATGGATAGATAGATAGATAGAGAGAGAGAGAGATAAAGAAACGGACAAACAGAGATACAGAAAGAGATAATTATAAAGTCATAGATAGATATACAGAGACAGACAGACAGAGATACAGATAGATAAATAGAAAGACAGATAGACAGATAGATAGATAGATAGAGAGAGAGAATGAAAACCAAAAAATATAGATAGAAAAATAAATAAATAGATAATTAGGCAGATAGAGAGAGAAACACTTTTTCATATTGCTAGTTGCATAAGCTCTGAGAGCTGTGATTTTTTTTCCTTTTTCATTAATTGAAAATAAGTTTTTTTCACCGAGCTCAGAAAATATAACAGCGTTTTCGAGAGGCATTATATCATTGAACATCTCCCTGTTTATTTCTTCTGGTGTTTCTCACATCTAAAATATTGTACTATTATTCACAGGCAATATGAAATTTTTCATGTGCCAGGCGTCAGTAAATAATTCAACACAGAGATATTTGTCTATTGCACAAATCATTTACTTTCCCAACAAATAAACCATGGAAACGACATTGCAATTGCAACACCGAATCCTTATCTAAGAAGGTAAATTACTATTAAAGGGACAGCTTTTAAAGATTTAACTTTGGTAATATTTCTTTGTAAATCATAAGGCTTATTGTTTATACAACGACGTCTTCACATAACTCTGGATATAGTGAGGATCATCAAAAGTAGATAGTGAAGGTTTTACTGGATTTAGAAGGCGGGTAAAGACTTTAATTCCAACAATAAATGGTGTTATGAGGATATTTAAGTTAAGAGGAATAAGTACATGTTTATACCGATCTGTTGTTGAAAAATAATGAGAGAGACAGACGCAGAGAGGGAAGAGAGAGAGAGAGAGAGAGAGAGAGAGAGAGAGAGAGAGAGAGAGAGAGAGAGAGAGAGAGAGAGAGAGAGAGAGAGAGAGAGAGAGATAGAGAGAAGGATTGTCAAACAGACAGACAAACAGATTGATAGATAAATAAGCAAATGGGTAGATAGATAGATAGATAGGTAGAAAGATGAATAGATAGCTAGGTAGACAGATAGATGGCCAGAGAGGGAAAGAGAGAGAGAGGAGGTTGGTAAGAAAGTAGATGACAGACGGAAAGATAAATGGATGTATAGCTAGTCAGATATATGACCAGGTAGATATATTGACATACCGGTAGACAGATAAAGCATGGAATACACCAGAGTAATGAG